TAAAAAACACATTATTTGTGCCTTTCCGAATACCGTATTCAGGTTCGGCTCCACCCCTAGTACTGTAAATAACCTGGTCGTATGCTCCACTCTCAAAATCTGGTATCAGTTCAGGAACCTATTTTAGCTCCTTTACTGAGGAATAATTTATGTCAGCCCTCATTCACAGATGCCACTTTTGCCATGTGGCATGATAAAGGTCTGAGATCTTTTAAAGATTTTTATAAAGATTCCACTTTCCGAAACTTTTCCGAAACAAATTTATCTATTGAATTTGATCTCCCATCCTCTCACTTTTTTGCTACCTTCAGATTAGACCCTGTGTTAGATCTTTGTTTTCGGCCTTCCCCTCCTCTCTTCCAGCTCAACCTTGGGAGAAATTTTTCAACATAGATCCCCACCAAAAGTCAATTATTTCAAAGGTTTACAATAAACTTATATTACTTGATACCTCTCCAATTATCTGAATCAAATCTGCGTGGGAGGCTGAATTGGGCTTAGACCTGGATGATGACTGGTGGGACGCTGCGCTTAGTAAAATTCACACAAGTCCTATCTGTGCTCGTCTCACACTCATACAGTTTAAGGTACTATTTAGAGTCCACTTCTCTAAAGAATGACTCACACGAATTTATCCTAATGTAGCGTCCAAGGTTAAGGCGACTGTTGTGGCACTTTTTATATTAAAGGATACTGCTGGAACTCGGGTAGCTCGGTCCGAGTAGCTCACCACACACCATTTTAATAATCAATAACACGTCCACAACACGTGGCTGCTGCCTTTTTGTTACAAAACTGCTTCCCCTCCCGGGGCGACTACCATCCACATTAGTTCCTACCCGTCACACTAACATCACTGACACCTGTGACAAATGTCATGCCTCTCCCTGCAACCTAACACATATGTTCTACTCCTGCCCATCGCTGCGTAACCTATGGCAGAACTACTTTAACACTCTGTCTAACATATTTGCTAAGACTACAAATGTCTCCCCTCATATTGCCATATTCGGCTTCACAGATAATCACTCCCAATATACCTCAAAGCAGTTAGATGTAATAGTTTTCTCTTCTCTGTTGGTGAGACGCCTCATCCTTCTTCATTGGAAGTCTGATAAACGTCCCTGCAACTCAGTGGCTCAAGGACACCATGTCCTTTCTAAAGCTAGAGAAGATTAAATATTCGGTCAGAGGTAACTCCGATGACTTCCACGAAAGGTGGCAGACCTTCCTAATGTATGTCAATTCTCTCTTGCTTGACCCCGCACCGCCCCCCCCTTTTTATTTATTTAATTAATTTACTTACTTAGGTGTTTATTTATTTACTTTTTTTTCCACGTATCTCTTTTTTATTCTTATTTACTTTAGTATTGCAACAACACAAAAAACAAAATCATTGTTACTGATATTGATGCTCTGTTTAAATCACTGCCTAATAAACATATCAATCAAAAAATTAAAAAAGGCCAAGTTTTAGCCTTGTATTACACCTATTATCTAATAATAGATATGGTTTAATTACTGTATTATTAAGTTATTATGACATACGCTATGAAGGAATAGACCTCCACGATTAAAAGTGCGGGGAACAGACACAGTCCCAATAACATGAACCCTAGGTGCTGCTGCATTAGCTGCTGGGGATGTTTACATCTCCTCCTTTCAGTGATACGTGTCCAGTGTAGGGACACCTGGCAGAAAGATGGCTGAGGACTGCACTGGAAGCTCTGGTCTGACTGTTATGGGAGGGTTCATGTCCATCTTGCTGTTGATATGTTCCTATATATTCTGTGATTTTTGGCTGTAGTTTGTACTTAATGTTTTTACCTCTAGTTTTGAGCAAAGATGCACTGACTCACAGTTAGTGATCATATGACTGCAGCAAATTGCCAGGATGCACAGAACACTGTGCAGACTATGATTCATTTTGAAATGTAAGCTATGCTGCTAATTATATTGAAAACAAATGCTTATTGTAATACTTTGTATTTTACTAATGTGTAGGATGTGTATATGTCTGTGTCTTAAAGTCTTTTCTTTTCCAGGCTGAACAGCTGTGATCTCACAGATGAAAACTGTGAAGTGTTGATTTCAGCTCTAAGATCAAACTGTTCACCCCTAAGAGAGCTGGACCTGAGTGACAATAACCTGAAGGATTCAGGAGTGAAGCTGCTCTCTGCTGGACTGGGGGATTCGCACTGTAAACTGGAGATACTATGGTCAGTATTACTGGGTATTCCACACTGTGAACTGGAGATACTAAGGTCAGTATCACTGGGTATTCCACACTGTGAACTGGAGATACTAAGGTCAGTATTACTGGGTATTCCACACTGTACGCTGGAGATAATGAGGTCAGTATTACTTGGTATTCCAAACTATACTGAGGAGATAGTGAGTAATTAGCCATGGGCAAGGGAGGAGGGGGCCTGCCTTCTCTTAGACACTAAACTTTAATTATTGAAATATTTATTAGAGCAGTCACATTTATTTAATACCGGTAATGGTGAGGTGATATTATTTATTGGAGAATTTCTGTCTCTCTCTCTGCAGGCTGGCAGGCTGTAGAGTCACAGAAGAAGGCTGTTCTTCCCTGGCTTCAGCTCTGAGGTCAAACCCCTCACACCTGAGAGAGCTGGATCTGAGCTACAATCACCCAGGAGACTCAGGAGTGAAGCTGCTCTCTGCTGTACTGGAGGATTACAGCTGTAAATTGGAGAAGCTGAAGTGAGTACAGAATATGCATTTTACAAAAAAGAAACTGGACACCAAGAAAAACCACAATGCATTTCAGCAGTTACATAATAAACAAACACAAACAGCTTCTGTTTTCTTCTCCTACTTCCTTATATTCCACAATCTTATCAGCCCTTGATCCATGTTAGAAATAATTAAGCAGTGAAGCAGGAAACATCCATTCAACCATATAATCCATGCAAAACATTTGTGTTGGTTAGCAAAGTTAAAGGTACTGTTACGGTTAAACATGCTGACTGTAACGTGTTATGGACAAAAATATAATGGACACCAGTCAGAATCGGGATGATTGTTAAAATGATTTTTAGTGAATTCATTGTTTTCTAAAAATCCATTATGTCATGGCCCCTATTCTACTCACTTGAATACAGTGCTGCAGTGTAAAAAGTGGATTCAAAAGTGTTTAATTTTTTTAAGGGTGGGCCGGTGTGAACTCACAGAGAAATGCTGTGAGGCGCTGGCTTCAACTTTAGGATCAAACTCCTCACCTTTGAGAGAGCTGGACTTGAGTGACAATGACCGACTGGATTCAGGAGTGAAGCTACTCTCTGCTGGACTGGGGGATTCACACTGTAAACTGGAGATACTGAGGTCAGTACTACTGGGTATTCCATGCTGTAAACTGGGAATACTGAGGTCAGTATTACTAGGTATTCCATACTGTAAATTGGGGATTCTGAAGTCAGTATTACTGGGTATTCCACACTGTAAACTGGGGATACTGAGGTCAGTATTACTGGGTATTCCACACTGTAAACTGGAGATACTGAGGTAAGTATTAGACTGCTGCCTGACCTAAGATCTGTGCTGAAACCATCAATTTATTTGTACTTTCACTGTAATTTAAGTTTCAAAACAGAATTCTAGTTGTTTCAGGCAGTGGGCAGTTTTATTGTAGTGTGGTATGAGTTTAAGGACATACAGGCAGCGATGGATGACTGTACTGAAGCCTCAGTGAGGCAGACTTTATTAAAAATAAAAATAACAGAAGGAAGAGGACAGTTTGGGGCAGCTGGTGACAGTCAGCAGCGTCCTCATTCCGAGTCGAAGTCTCTGGGTGTGATAGACAGGATGGGGTGTCTAACAGCCCGTCTTTTTCACAAAATCTGGTAGTGGCACCATTAATATGTATATTAACGACACCAGGTTCATTTTAAATGTTATTTACTTTTTCCATTTTTTATCTGCTCCCGCTGATTTCAAGTGAAATTAATATGGCTACAACAAACGCAAAATACACCAAACATGTTTCGGTTCAGAGTGAACCAAAGCTATGAGGTGAGGTGAGGAGCATGCACTGATCACAGCACGTTGCTGCTCCCACCACACGACAAACCACCTCAGGGATGAGAACCTGAGTGCAGCCATGCCCCGGGTAATACCTCAGCACCTCAGCAGTCTGAATGGACCAGTGTGAGTTTTTTCGGTGGCTGGAGTGCCAATCCTGCCACCGACCCCCAAATTTCTCCCTCCAAGTTGGAGGACCTCCTTATAGGACTGGATGTAGATTAACATCATTGCAATTGCAGATTAAGGGCCTTGCTCAAGGACCCAAAAGAGTAGAATCACTCCAGCCATTTACAGGATTTCAACTGGCAACCTTCCAATTACTGGCACAGATCCCTAGCCTCAGAGCCATGACTCCACCGACACTGTGTGACCCCATAAGTGACCAAAATACCACGTTGCTGGATTGCAGCAGTGTAAGCTGATACAAATATAAGCTAATATTTAAGATACAGGATATTTAGGTAATAGTGTTGATACAAAAACTGGAAATATATGACTGGAGTGAATACTTAAAATAACAAGCAAAGAAAATGTATTTTTAAAAATCATTAATACCAGTTGTCAGTAAACTATAAAGAAACCTTTGTATTTTGCTATAAATGTAAACAATATGGTTTACCATAAAATGGCAGGACATTTTTATATGATGTTTTGATTTAAAGAGGGGGTGAGCAGGTATACAGGCCCACATAGCATGCAGATCATTATCTGTGACCCCCATGGTGCACTGTGTGCAGGTATACAGGCCCACATAGCATGCAGATCATTATCTGTGACCCCCATGGTGCACTGTGTGCAGGTATACAGGCCCACATAGCATGCAGATCATTATCTGTGACCCCCATGGTGCAC